TTGACTAATTTTGAAGAGGCCACCACTCCTGATTTACAAACCATAAACTATGCACTGATGGCGTACAAAACTTAAGGGTGATTAATACATATTCAAGGTACAATCTTGTCCAATCTTGAAACATTCAAGTTAATCTTATATTTGCTTTCCTTATCAAGAGCTGGTTTTGTAGGATATATAGGAGTATATTGTTAATAAGTGGGTATAAAACATGGACATAAGTATTCTTGTAATCACATCATTCCTATGTATCTACAAGTGATGTCTATTAGTCTGTGGTATCTGAAATTAAGGATATTTATTGCTATTAAGAACCATAACAGTCTGCAATTTATTTTTATATTTATTCACATTGATAGACATTGATACTTATTGGACTCCTTTTGCGGCATATTAATAACTATAATTAATAAACTCATAAAAAGGTGAATACATCTACAAGTGAAAGTGTGGTTCTATTTCTGACATTTGACTTTGAAGGTGACTATAAGACAAGGCACTGACATGCAAAATGTCACCATCTGCCATTTGTTACAGACGATGACCACCCAACACTATCCACAAAAAAGCTGGAGAGTATTACAAAACAGTAAAACCTGTGTATATTGTATAATGTTCAGTGTTGGTAGGTGTTCACTACAGAGAAGGTAATTTATACAGGATTCAAACATGACCGTGCTCTATTCGAATTTCTCAACCAATCAGAATGCAGCATAGCCAATATAGAACGTTCTCTAATTCTCCATAGATGCACGACCATGCTCTATTCAATCTGCAATTTGCATTGTTTTGAGTGACGTCACATCTCAGCTGTATATCTGGGGCTCTGTCCGGGGATAGCTGTTCTTTTTTACTCCCTCCTCCCTCTATATTTATTTTTATTTTATCAACACCCCATGTTTGCATACACCGTATAAAATCTAAAACGGGGAGTAAAATAGAACAGCCCAAACAAATTCTAAAATTTTTCCGGCCGACTTCAGAATCTTGACAGCATGCGTATTCTTCCTTCATGCCCGTTCCACAGACACGGCTTTTACTAATTTTTATGTTTGAATCGGAATAAATAATGATAGGCCATTCAATATGGTGAAATTCAGCACTCGTTGGACAGAATGTTAGTACAAATGCACTCACCTTCGGTTCGTGCTTTGTACAACATTCTGTCCAACTCGTGCTGAATTTCACCATATTGAATGGCCTATCATTATTTATTCCTTAAGTCAGTAGAGTATGTGCAGAGGAAGGCTGTCCACTAGAGACATGTGTTCACTGGAGAGTGGTGTTCACTAAGACAGGTTTTACTGTATGTGACCATTTCTGGTGTATGACCCAGATACAAATATTTGTGTTAAAAGGATGTAAAATGTCACAATTGATGCTATAACCTCTTCAAGATTAGATCACCTTCAATTAATTCACAATTATCTCATTTTTCTAATCAGATTACATTGTAGTAAGCTTTCCGGGCATGCCAATCCTCTTATCATACACGCTAGTTTTCTATTATTCTGCGCTGCAGCAGAAGAAACAAAGAAAATCAATTTTTCAAAAAATGTTCAGATCCCTTAAAAAAATCTGAATTTGATGATTTCCACAATTTCTAACTCACAGAACTCACAGTTAGCATTAGGAGATCTTTAAAAAATTATATTGTTGCCAATTAGCTCTATTCCTTAAATACCTTTTTAAAAATTGTTGACAAAAATGATACATTTTGACAAAAAAGAGAATCTCTAAAAGCATATACCCCTATATTGAGACAGACAATGTGATGGGTAAATGGACAAATTGGACAGTTATTTTCCAACATGGCAATATCAATTCTCCATCAAATTATAAGCTAATTTTGTCTTACTAAATGATTATTTTGTCAAAAACATAAAATATTAGAAAGGAAATCCATGCGGAAGAAATTTGAGTGAGTTTTGTCAATATAATTAACTGCACACAGGCTTTTCAATCAACATGTGTAAAGTAACCAACCAACTTCTCAGATTTTTCAACATTATTTAATTTAGCAGTGGAAGCTGAGACTATAAGTTTTACTTGCCCATTGACATGTTGAAGTCTAGCACTGCCATGGGAGTTTGAAAAATGAGGCAAATGTTGAACCTGGGAATAATTGTGTACTTAACTTTTGTAGACCCTCATAGATATAAGCATCATAGTTCAGAAAACAACAGTTTTTATTTATCAAAATGACAACTTGGTGGATGGACAGGACTGAAGGATGAATTGACAAATGAAGAAAATGATGAAAATGGACAGACGGCACGTTGGTAATTCCGTTAGCTCGCAAGTTGAACCAAAAAGAATACACAAAAAATGTTGTCTCTCTTAAGCAATTTTATATTGTAGGCAATCCTATTGTTATATTTAAAAAGCTGATGCCTCATTAAGAACATTCTACCCATATAGAGTAATAAGAATGCGTTGATGACAGCATCATCATCATCATCATCATCATTATTATGATTCACCTTTATCTCATCGATCGGGTTGTTGAGAATGCAACTTAACAAATACATTTCAGCTGTACTACACACATGCACAATAAGCATTATAGTACTAACATATTGCATGATGATCTTGCACCATACATGTATGTGGTTAAGAAATGATAATAGATTAGATGCAATAAAAAATAATCTTAATGCATCATTAAATATTCAAAGCAATGTCAAATATGAAATCTGCATGTAAAATTATATCTAGAAATGTGGAAATGTTCACCAACTTTGAAAACTTTAATCTGACTTCTTGGTTGGGTGCATTTCCCATAAGACCCAATGTTATAAGATCACAAAAAGTGAAATATCTTTTCTTGATTTGGACAGATATTTTCTTGTATTGCGCATATTCTAATTTGTATAACTATCAGATTGACGATCATACCATTGCTGATAATAACCAAAACTGAAGTTGCGTCTATTATGAATATGAATATACAGTCTTAGCAAATAGCATCATTAACACAATTGTGTACTTCATGTTGTAAATCAATATCTTTATTATAAGCCAAGTTAAGTGATTTTTTGATGATAAGTTTCCCTTTAAATGGCCCAAATGGGGCCAAGGTTTAATCATTACAAAAACTATTAATGGTTGATCTACTTTATGATGTCATACAGGTCAATCAGACTTCTTAATTATGAAAGCTTAATGGTACAGTAGGTGAAAATGAGAACACCGAATGCTCCTTCATGCGTCATATTTAAGAGTAACTGACCCTCGTTGATGTATTTTGTTATCATTATTGATATAGTGTTTGATCCCACGTTAAATGACCGTCTGTATGATTGATAAGGTGGGATGTTAGTTCATGACATGAAAACAGGATGCAGTGATTGATTAATAGGTGTAGTTTTATATTATGTGTTATTATTTGGAATGACACTGAAGAAACTGTCAGTCTCCAATTGGTTCTCCTTTTCACAAAAGCAAAGGACAGGTAGTGTGAAGTGAACAAAAATATGCAAATGTGTCTCCTAAGATTGAAAATTCAAAACAGTAAAACCTGTTAAGTGGAACACCTCCATAAGTGGAACACTTTTCAGAGCCCCGCTTTCTATTGACTTATTGTTAAATGAACATCTGTAAGTAGAACATCTCCCAAGTTTAACCTTTTAAGAGGTACCAAAGGTGTTCCACACACACAGGTTTTACTGTACTTTAAAAATCAAGCCAATATCAGGAACCTCAGAGTTATTTTTGGGGTTTTTCAAATTGTCAAATAAATTGTGATAGTTTTTCTTTATATGTCTGATCAATGTTTGGAATGTTAAACCAATTATACTCAATCTTAAATGTGCCTTTTTGGCTTTCAAGCTCGTGTTTGCGTATCTGAATTTGTGATGCTGTGTGGGCAGTGGGGTGATCATTCAACAATTTGCAGATTCATTTACAAGTAATTGATGTCTATGGGGTTGATTGTTCTTTGTTGCGTGTCGCCACACATTTTTCTGATCATATTAAATCCTGAAAGCGCATTCTAGATCTCTTTAAACATGCATAAAACATCAGTAATATGTCTCAGCCCTAACATAATTCTCAAATTTCAATCTTCAAAATGGTAAGAGCTTACATTATGTATTAATTTCCCAAACACGATACAATAATTACAAATCTATTACCATCAACAGGAAACTATTATGGCAATTATTATTTCACCTAGACATCAAATTTATTTGTGATGACAGAAAACTGTCCCACCTAGTAAAACATACAAAATTCTAAGAACCATCCATCCACCGACTAAAATACAAAAACTTGTTGACATTAATCCAATCATCCAACCTAACTTTCCACTAAAGTACACAACTAACCATGGAACATGGTTAATTGGTAAGTATTTGTGAGTGTTATCAAGATTTATTATCTTTCCACAAAAGTACACAACTAACCACAGAACATGGTTAATTGAAATATATTTGTGAGTATTATCAAGAGGTATTATCTTTCCACAAAAGTACACAACTAACCAGAGTACATGGTTAATTGAAATATATTTGTGAGTATTATCAAGAGGTATTATCTTTCCACAAAAGTACACAACTAACCACAGAACATGGTTAATTGAAATATATTTGTGAGTATTATCAAGAGGTATTATCTTTCCACAAAAGTACACAACTAACCACAGAACATGGTTAATTGAAATATATTTGTGAGTATTATCAAGAGGTATTATCTTTCCACAAAAGTACACAACTAACCACAGAACATGGTTAATTGAAATATATTTGTGAGTGTTATCAAGATTTATTATCTTTCCACAATAGTTCACGAATAAATGCTAACTAACCACAATATAAGCATTCTGGTGATATTTTATATAAGTATTGTGATGGTATTCATGAGTATCCTGAGTAATCAGATGGTATTTATAACTGATACAAATATTCTGATACAAATAAGTAATCGGGTAGTATTCTGGTGATATTTATATTCTGGTGATATTAATGAGTATTCTTGTGATATTTCAAGCAATTACTAACCTGCACTTATTTCCTACAATGGCTAGGTCTCCCTCAGGGAAACGTTCCGGTCGATTATCTGTATGTTCATGAGGGGTCTGTGAGTCCCATCTCTGGCATGTTAAACCTGTGTTGGTCTCAGACACTGCCCCAGTGTACTCTTTGCCCATACTGGTCACTTTACAATCTAAAAATACAAAGTTTGAATCTGAAAGGCTGATGTTAATGTTTCATGGCTTTTTTTGTGACGGTGTCTGAATCCAGAAATCAAGGGGATGAAAAACATATTCTGGGCCCTGATTAGTGTGCTATGTTTCATCACACTTTACTTCAATCCAATTATGGATGAACTAGTAAGTACAAAATTTCAAATCTATCAAGTCTTTTGTCTGCAAATGATCTAGCAGACAATGACATACCACCTCAAGCCAGTTAACCCACCATCCACCTGCCAAGCTGCTGACAATGTCATCCTTTTACATTAATACAATAAAACACATAACCCAGGGAATATTATCTGATTTGTGCCTGCTGAAAATAAGAACTTAAAAAGGCATTTGAATGATTCCAAGTGAATCAAGAAGAGTTATGTTCACACTCAGAAGGTTCATGGTCATTGTTTCCTGCCACTAATTCAATCAATAGAAGACATACAGTGTAGTCTTGCAAGAGTAGGTGTTTGATGAACAGACCCTGTTAACCAATGATACAATTACTTTGGCCTAATTACAGCAATATGGTCTCATGACTATTAAAATGGGTCATATAGAACTCCCTTTTCTAAGCAGGTTTCATGAAGTTAATTTTTTGAAAATGCATGTATTTTTGTCATGGCATTTGCTATGCTTTTATCTTTTGTTTATACTGTTTTCAACAATAAAATCAAATCATTAATAATAGAATTCATTTTTAGAAATAGACTAAGTCCCGAGGCAGACTCACACCAATCAAGATACAAATGATTTGTTGCAGTTTCCAAATTTCACTTTCATAATTTTGACATAAAAATTCATTCAACCCAGTAAGCTGTTGCCCTTTCGGCCTCAAGTTACAATGCCACTGAAGTTGATTGGTAATAATTGGATTATAGCTAAATACACTGTATGTGCTTTGCAATGTACCTGAACTTGACCTGAACCTGAAAATCTACAAAATGTCAAGACGGGCCATTTTTACAGGCGCCATCTGTTACAGATGCCATTTGTTACAGAGGTAATCATTACAGATACCATTCGTTACAGACGCCAAATGCCAAACACCAACTGTCATCTATGAAATAGTAGGAGACTATATCAAAGCTGCAACTGTTAAACTTAAAGGGGCAATAAGGACTGTAGAGAAAATAGGAAAGTTTTTTCATTTATTCTGAGCTATCAAGGCAACATTTGGTTTAACATCTTCTTTGACATACCTATTTTCTTAAAATGTATGGATAAATTATCAATTTCAGCATTAAGAAGTGTAAATTCAGTTCAAAGCTTCAAAAAGGGGACTTCCATTTTTATATTTTTAAGATCCACCATGTCTCAAGAGGAATATCAGCTAAAATAATGTTTATCTAGGGGGTTTCTTTGTAGATAATAAAAAGAGATGTTAGTCTTGATGAAATATCCAAACTTAAAAAATATATTTTGACACTGGTCCATGATCGTTGAATGACCCCTCTGCACTGATTATTGCACCTTTAATCATCAGTTGAAATTCCAAGATGCAAATATCTAACATCTGCACTAGGATATAATCCCCATATCCTTTGGTTCCTTTGAAAATCTGTTCAGATTACATGGCCAGTTCAAAGGCCTTATTGACTTCACCATGATAGCTGATATCTGTTTTCATCCTGACAAGATATTATAGGAATGAAAATTATCATTTATATCATTGAGTGGATATTGATATCTTCACAAGTAAGTACAACGTTAGTCCTTATTTTTCAATTTTTAGATGAAACTCTATTTGAGAGATGGAAATCTTAACTTATGCAAAGGGTACACCGTCACTTTGAATAACTAACAAGCTAGCCAATCAGAGTTGACACATCCTTGCATTGTAGAAGTTGAGAATTTAAAAATATAATCAAGTTAAAAAATTTAGTAATAATTATGGTAATTATGCACTCATGGTAAATACAATTTTGATGATGATGCCATTAACCATCACCTGCTTTTCCCCATGGTGTTTTCAAAGAACCCCAAGGGATCTGAAGGCCCATGGTGTTTTCAAAGAACCCAAAGGATCTAAAGGATAATAGTATATTGAATTTCAAAGAAATAATGAAGTTTAAAGATTTGGAATACCTGACCCATATGGCCAACGGGGGGTTTCACTCAAACATACCTCCTGTATGTGCCGCACCAACTTTATAAGCAGTTTTTGTAGAAAAACTGATTTTTGACTTGAGAAAGGCTCTTTCTTCGACAAATTTTCATGTTTTTTTCCTCTCAGATTGGCCAGGTCCCATGGTTTATGCCTCAAGCCAAAATTGCCCATGCTACACATACCCACCCAAATTATTCAGAGTGAACCCCAAGAATATGGCCCCTAGCTGCTAACACAGCTAATGTATGATGCCAAAATTGCAAAAACCAGGAAATGGCAGTCTGAGGTCAAATAGGTACAATGCATGTAAATAAACATAAAATGAGGAGTATGCATTGCATACACCCTGCTGAGAATCAAAGTTTTAATTTGTCCTGTCAATTTTGATGGAAGGGGGGGGGGGCTGACCAACAGAGGACAAAAAAACAAATGGATGGACACCTACATACTCCTGTTAAGGGTCATCATGTTCAGCAAAAAATGCACGTCTTTTCAAAGGCTATCACCACTATAAAATCTTACTCATCACTCACTGTCTGAGCATTTAATTGGTTGAGGCATAATAAAGAGCTTGATGACTTAAAGCATATCATATTCTTCATATTAAATCCACACAAAGTCATCAGAAATGTCATATAGGATGTCCACATGCGATTGATCACATGATTACAAGACAACTAAGCAAGTATTGTCTGAAAGCATGAGAAGTCTTACTGCCCCAGCCAAAACCAAATATTCTAGGTTAACTCAATCTGGTATACTGTAAAACAAGATTATTTCAAATGGATTATGATGTCATCATTTATAAAGTAACTTATATTGGGTCCAGGAAACTGGACATGGAAGGCATGGCTGCAATGTTATATACAGGGTGTCCCGAAAGTATGGGGCCCCCCCTAGGCAGACATATTCCAGTGTCCTCAAAGTATGTGTCATATATCATTTTAAAGCTTGTCCAAAGTTACATTGATTTGCCAAGTATCATGATTTAACTTCCAAATGGGAAAAAGTTACAGTCATTTTAAAAGTTAGTGTTTTGTCAAAATAAAGTTCAATTTTACACCACATTACTAGTCAATGTGTCCCCCCTTGACCGTGTTAACAGCGGCAATTATTTTCAGATATGACCTTAAAAGTCCTTCAAATAGGAGTGTGGAACTTTATAACCCTCTTAAATCCTGTTGAGGGACTTTAGAAGAGTTTCCTTAGAGTTTCTACCCTCACCGTTCTCTTTTTCCAACTCAATATCCATCCAATCCGAAAAGAATTGCTGCTGTTAAGATGGCCCGGGAGAACACATTGACTAGTGGTTTGGTGTAAAATTGAACTTAATTTTGACCAAACACTAAATCTTTAAATACCTGTAATTTTTTCACATTTGAGAGTTGAACCATGATACTTGGTGATACTTTGGATAAGCTTTAAAATGATATATGACACATACTATGACGACACTGGTATATGTCTGCCTAGGGGGGACCCCATACTTTCGGGACCCCCTGTATATGGAATGTTGATGTGGACAAGTCAGTCGACTCCATACCTCAGGGGTAGAGCACTCGTCTGGACAGCGAGGGGTAGTGGATTCGATCCCAACTGGGTGGACTGACTTTTTCACATCAGCCATAAGCGCAGAATTTCATTCTGTGTTTCCATTAACCAATTTATTAACCTCTTTCATCAAAAATTGATACGTAATGAACTTCTACTGCCTACCAAAAAAGGAATGTGAATCTGTATACAGTTAATAGAGATCTTATGAATAGATGGCGGTCATTCAAAGGGCCAATATTTTGTTTAAATTAGTTCTTCAACATGTAATGTAATGACTTCAGTATGAATAAAATGTCTTACAATCTTGATGTTTTGTATTGTTATAGATTCGTGAATGATGAATGGGAAGGGGTGTAAGACATTGATTCTGTTGGATGTTGTTTGGGATACTGGGGAGTTGTGTTCCTATTATGACCAGTTCTGCTCTTAAATGATTGTTTTTCTGTCTTTCTGTTTTTCTTGGAGTGTTTGGTTTTTTCCCTTTGGCACTTTTACTTTCATATGCTGGAAGAGAATAGTGTCACATGAAGAATAGCGCCTTCTCAAATAAATCCTAAATATTAGTGCTTACGGGAAAATACCAAAAATGTTTACAACACAGCAAGAAAATGCAAAATGTCACCACCTGCCATTTCTTACATACACCTAACACCAATTGCCAAACATCAACCACTAAAAATCAAACATCAAACACCAACTGCTGAATGCTGACTGTCGAACACCATCCACAAAAAGTTGGGAGTCTTTACCAACATGTCACCAATTCTGGTGGTGACATAACAATTCTGGTGGTGACATAACAATTCTGATGGTGACATAACAATTCTGGTGGTGACATAACAATTCTGATGGTGACATAACAATTTTGGTGGTGACATAATAATTCTAGTGGTGACATAACAATTCTGGTGGTGACATAACAATTCTAGTGGTGACATAACAATTCTGGTGGTGACATAATAATGACCTAAGTTGGAAGAAGTCCAATGAGTTGAGGCAAAATTATATTCATAAGAAATCGTAAGGGTGATCGACTCTGCTATTACAAAGCATGTTTTACAGTAAAGGTTATGGGGAACTTAAGATGTTGAATTGTACCTTTTACCTCCTAACTGAATTTTCACTTTTCATTTGATTATCTGAAGGAAACAAGTTCTTTGATTCTTACAATGATTAACAACTCTAGCGCCATTTTCCAAGAATGTGACACAAAAGTTAACATTTCATCTTGCAGGTCAATGATTTTTTCCAAACAATATTAAAGAATGAAGTGTACATAATATTACATTAAATATAGCAAACAGAATCAAGCCA